CCTTGTGAAGGGTGTCAATGATTGTCTTCTGGACAACTGTCAGATCAGCAGTCTTCCCCATGATTGTGTAGAACCAAAAACCAAACTGAGAGACCATTTTGAAGGCTCAGGAAACCTTTGCAGGTGTTTTGAGTTGATTTGGCATGTCGCATGTCACCAATTTGAGTTGAATTACTGAAATAAATTAACTTTTCCACGACATTCTAATTTACTGAGATGCACCTGTATATATGAAAAATACTATAGGCCTACTTGTCCAATTTAAGAAGTAGGCTTGGCAAAAATGACGAGAACAGAGCACAACAGCGCCTCCCACTGGAAGAAAAGTGTGTCGGGTTGACTGTAATGTAGCATTGGCTCTCTCTGCTGGTCATACCCGCATACAGCACAACCAATAGAATTGCGCCTATGAATGGAAAAAAATCGGTCAAAATAATTAGTTTTTTTTTATTTAAAAAACAATACATTTTAATATAATATATAATAATAATTAAAATCATGTGCTCATAACAGGACTCCCCTACACAGATTTTTTTTTTTTTTGAGTGAACTATTAATTTAAAGTAAATATTTCTCTGCACTTACAAGCTGCAAATGATAACTTCACACTTATTTTTTTTTTTGATTTCTTCCAGTCTAACAGTATAAAAGGCAGTGCTTTTCTTTGAAAGTCAGTTGCCCCTTTTCAGAATTTTGCTACTATATTATTATATTGCATAAGGCTATTTATTATCTTTTTACTTAACCGGTTAGTGATGTCTTCATTATTTAATGTTGCCGGTGAATAGTCTAAATCTCACATGAAAACACATTTGTACTAAAGCCACTGTTTAAATGTTTAGACCAGGGCTATTCAAGTAGTTTCTTTTGAGGGCCGGATTATCAAAATTTGAAGGGGGCCAAGGGGGTGGGGGGTGGGGGCATCCCGATCTCTTTCTGGGGGGCCTATAAAATTAGAAATTAAATTTAAATGCATATTCAGCAGAAAAATTAACTAATATCACCAACATATAAAAGGTTAGTGCTGTCTGTCAATCGATTAAAACAAAATTAACCAATTAATCGCACATTTTTCTGTATTTAATCGTTATTAACTGCATATTAATATATTGTCATAATTTCACATTGAACCTCCAAATTAATGTAGAAACAACATAAAGATGGTCGGTTATTTTTTAAATATGTGTTTAATGGCATCTCTTTACTAAGTAGCCTATTAACAAAGGCCAGTATTTTTGATACCAATACTGCTACTGATGTCTTTATTAACATATGTTTGTGATGTGCATTATTATTATTTGTATATCTTTTAAGTTCTAATATATATATTTTTTACTTTTATTTAAATCGTGTTTCAATTTGTACTTACAACATGTGTAAATGTGAGAAATAGGTCAGGAATTTGCTGTTGAATTCTTTAATGTTGAAAGTTCAATTAATAAATAAATAAATAAAAAAAAGCTGAAAACAACAACAACAACTGGTAGTTGCCAGTAGTAACCACAGAGAGCAGTACTTCCAGGTGAAAAGTCTCTCCAATATGGCGGCCCCCTTGGAGTTGTTCTGTTGGAAAGGCGATTATGGATTAGCTTCAGTAGATGTCGACTGTTTAACTGTGCTGGTAAGAGAAAAACACACCGGTCGGCTGCATATCGCAATAGTTCCGTCTGTTTTGTGTTTTGCGGTATTGACCGTATATGTGTTGTATTTGTGTGTGGGCTGTCAGGAGAGATGGGAGGTGATTTACAGCACGTGTGAGTGAAGGGGTCAGAATAACACGCTGTATGAGCTCATGCTTGATCACACATTTGTTTAACTGATAATCTATCGAGCCATCCTCATGGTTCAGTGAATGGGTTACAGCAATGACTGTACTTTAAGGATCATAAATGAGATTGCATTAGGTCAGACACACTGCAATAGGTGTAGGTTATTCCAGTTATCATATTCATGTTTCATGATCAGTGTCGCAGACATCTGATTGGTGACCCAGTAATAGTGTAGAAGCTTTAATTTTGTCATTGAAGTCATGATATTTCATTGTTTAAAATATAAAAATAACGTAAGTCATAATTGTAATATATTTTGATTATTCAAAAAATAAATTATATTGATATTAAGTTCCCCTTAAGATTATTTATTAATTTCTTGATTTTGACAGTTAAGCCATTAGCATATCTTTATGATATTTTCGACAAAACCTGTATGCAATATCACTGTTCTGCGCGCTTAATATAGAGCATCTTAAAGGAATAGTTCTCACCCTCAGGCCATCCAAAATGTAGTTTGTTCCTTAATGGGAACTTTTAGCATTAGATCACTTGCTCACTAATGGATCCTCTGCAGTGAATGGGTGCCGTCAGAATGAGAGTCCAAACAGCTGATGAAAACATCACAATAATCCACAAGTGATCCACATGACTCCAGTCCATCAGTTAATGTCTTAAGTGAAAAGTTGTGCATTTGTAAGAAACAAATCCATTAAGATGTTTTTAATTTTCATCTAAAATCAAAGTCCCCTATCCATAATATTGCTTTCTGAAGTGAAAAAGTCGTCTCGTCTGAATCAGGAGAGAAATATGCACAGATCAAGCACCGTTGACAAAACAGTTCAAAACAAATATGTTGGTGGTTTTTGATGGATTTTTTTGAGTATAGCCAGCATTATTATGGATTATACAATTGTATTTTGGCCAGAAGTGATGGTTTAGAGTAAAAAATCATCACTTCTGTGAGAGTGTTTGGACTCTCATTCTGACGGCACCCATTCACTGCAGAGGATCCACTGCTGAGCAACTGATATAATGCTAAATTTATCCAAATCTGTTCTGATGAAGAAACAACACTACATCTTGGATGGCCTGATTTTCAGCAAATTTTCATTTTTGTGTGAACTACTGCTTTGGGGATGGCACAAGAAAATTTCTTACTGTTACTCTGACCCCCCACTAGGGCTGCACGATTAATCGAATGCTATTGTTATGCGCATTTTGATAGTAATGCCAGTTCTGTAATCAGCGGGAAATCATCATCACGTGCTTTCAGATGGAGCAGAATTTACTACACATAGCCGTAGTTCACTGACAAGTTAAGGCAAAAAATTGCAGATGATTTTATTGCGCGATTATGAAATCGAAGAAATCGTTCGCGATAATGACAGCTGTTTGCATAGCTTCTCAGTGAACTACGGCTCTGTGAAGTAAATGCTGCTCCATCTGAAAGCATGTGAAAATACCACATTTAATAACATATTTTTACTCCAAACTCACTTCATAACGTCAGTCGAGTGTTTGAAATAAATCCTTCTGTGAGATGATGTGGCTTCTTACACAGAATAAGGCACGCAACATATTTCATAGTATTTAAGCAGTGATAAAGGCATTGCATTATAAATATACTTTATTTTAATGAAAATTATAATAAGAACTTAGATAAACTGTATATTGCCGTAGTCGTGTGTTTATTAGTCATGTTGAATCAATGAAAGCAGTTGAATCTTCTGTTTATTCAGCTGCAGCGATAGGCATTTTCTGGGTTTCTTCTGCGAGGCGTATTTGGAGTTT